TCTCCTCTCCCCTCTCCTTCTTGTTCTCCCTTTACACTCCCCACCCCTCCCCCCACCCCATCCTATTCTCCATTACCTCCTTTCCCCTACCTCGCTCCCCCCTCCCCCCTCCCCTACCTTGTCCTTGCCCTACCGCTAACCTTAAAATTTCCCTCCCCTTTTTTCCCTTTACCTTTTTCTATCCTTCATCTCTCCCTCCCTTCCTCCTCCTCTTCCTCCTTCTCCTCCTTACTTTCTTACCTTTCCTTTACCCTTAACCCTAACCCTATACCCTCCTTTACACCTACCTCTCATCCTCCCCTTCCCCTTCCACCTTCGTTAATCCTAACCCCAATCCCTTCTCCCTTCCCCTTATCCTCTCCTCCTCCTTTCCCCCTTAACTGCCCCTACCCTCCCTCCCTCCTTTCATTTCCCCTATACCTCTTCCACTGCTCTCCTGTCCCTTTCCCCTTTCCACTTTTTCTCCCATTACCCCTTTCCCTTCTTCTTTCCTCCTTTTTGCCCTTTCCCTTTTCATTTTCCTCCTCCTTACCCCTTTCCCTTCCTCTTTCCTCCACCTTACCCCTTTCCCTTCCTCTTTCCTTCTCTTACCCCTTTCCCTTTCCACTCACCTATCCCCTACCTCTTCTCCCTTCCCTCCTTCTCCCCCTACCCTCCCCCCCCCACTCCCTATCAGCGAGCAGCGTGAGAAGGCGATCGCTAGCCAGGGTCAGAGGGAAACGCGATATCTTTGCGAAACGAATTCACAATCGGGGGCAAGGGGCATAGGGAGGGGATGGGAGAGGGGAGGGGATAGGAGGGGAGAGGAGGGGATAGGAGGGGAGGGGAAGGGGTATGGGTGGGTCGGATGGCAACGCCTTTCCACACCGAAAGGGGGAAGGAAATATAAAAATAAAATAATAAAAATAAAGGAGAGAGAGAGAGAGAGAGAGAGAGAGAGAGAGAGAGAGAGAGAGAGAGAGAGAGAGAGAGAGAGAGAGAGAGAGAGAGAGAGGAAATAATAAGATCATTCTGCAAGGGACAACGCAAGAAAGTTTGTATATATATGAAAAAAAAAAATCTTTGCTTCTCAGAAAGTGAGATACATCATGAACAAAAAGAGAAACGAAAGAAAGAAGGAAAGACAGACAGAAAGAAAGAAAGAAAGAAAGAAAGAAAAAAAAAAACACCAGACAAAAAAAAGGAAGACAGGAAGGAAGAAAATAGACGAAAAAGGAAGGAAGGAGAAAAGAGAAAGAAAACACTAGACGAAAAAGGAAGGAAGGAAGGAAGAAAATAGACAAAAAAAAAAAAAGGAATCACCAGATCCTGTCCACGTGATCAAATTAATCCGATCGCAACGAAATCAAAGCTAATCAACTGGACACACTAACCTCATTACCACGCAATCAAGTCCACGTCAAGAGCAATTCCTTTAACCGGGCATCCTCGCGCGCACATCTACACGTCCACGTCCACGTACACGTACACGTACACTCACGCACACACACACACATACAGGCAGACACGAGACAGACGGACACAGACATAGATTAACCGCTGTGTACATTCGTACCATCTGCGACCACCTGCCTCGCCTCTCCACATGCCACCGTGGGAATCCGAACTAATTACCTCCCTTATCCATACCTGTCTCCCCCCCCCCCCCCCGACACGTTAAACGACATGCCAAGTCATATCCACGTGTTCGCAAGCTCTCCCATTTTTTCCTCTCTGTTTTCCTGTCTTTCGTCTCTTTATTTCCCCCCTTTCTTTGTTTCATGTCATTCATTTTCCTATTCCATTCCCCCCTCCTCCTCTCCTCCTCCTCCTCCTCCTCCTCCTCCTCTCCTCCTCCTCCTCCTCCTCCTCCTCCTCTCCTCCTCCTCCTCCTCCTCTCCTCCTCCTCCTCCTCCTCCTCCTCCTCCTCCTCCTCCTCCTCCTCCTCCTCCTCCTCCTCCTCTCCTCCTCCTCCTCCTCCTCCTCCTCCTCCTCCTCTCCTCCTCCTCCTCCTCTCCTCCTCCTCCTCCTCCTCCTCCTCCTCCTCCTCCTCCTCCTCCTCCTCCTCCTCCTCCTCCTCCTCCTCCTCCTCCTCCTCCTCCTCCTCCTCCTCCTCCTCTCCTCCTCCTCCTCTCCTCCTCCTCCTCTCCTCCTCCTCCTCCTCCTCCTCCTCCTCCTCTCCTCCTCCTCCTCCTCCTCTCCTCCTCCTCCTCCTCCTCCTCTCCTCCTCCTCCTCTCCTCCTCCTCCTCTCCTCCTCCTCCTCCTCCTCCTCCTCCTCCTCCTCCTCTCCTCCTCCTCCTCCCTCACACAATAAACATTGCTTTATCTCTCTTTCTCTCACTTTTTCACTTTCCTCTCACCCACTATTTTCTCTCTTCGTTTTCCAGATCCCCCCTTCGTCTCTACTCTTCTTTCCCTGTTTTCTCTTTTCCTCCTCGCATCTCATTTCTCTTTTATCCCCCTACCTTCCTCCCCTAACCGCCCCCCCCCCCATTTTTCATTGCGGCAGTACAAACATGGTCATTACCCCCCCCCCCCCCCGACACGTTAAACGACATGCCAAGTCATATCCACGTGTCCGTAAGCTCTCCCATTTTTTTCTCTCTCTGTGTTCTCCTGTCTTTCGTCTCTTTATTTCCCCCCTTTCTTTGTTTCATGTCATTCATTTTCCTATTCCATTCCCCCCTCCTCCTCTTCCTCTCTCTCTTTTTACCCTCCGCTTCTTTTTCCCTCCTCCTCTCTTCTTCCCTCCCTTCTTCCTCTCTCTCTTTCCCTCTCCCTTCTTCCCTCCTCTCTTTCCCTCTCCCTTCTTCCTCCCTCTCTTTCCCTCTCCCTCCTTCTCCCTTTCGCCTTTTCTCTCCCTTACCCCATTCGCCCTTCTTCATGAACATACGCCCATACGCCCACCATCGCACTTTCCGTTCACCATTATCATCGTGCGGGCGAGTGGGTGGAGTGTGCGTGCGTGAGGGCGTACGTGCAGGGGGGCATGTAGGTGGGTGGGTGGATGTGAATGTGCGTGCGGGTGGGCGGGCGTGTGGGTGGGCGTGTGGGTAGGCGTCAATGTGCGTGCGGGTGGGCGGAGGTATGGGTGGGCGTGTGGGTGGATGTCAGCGTGCGTGCGGGCGGGCGGACGTCAACGGGGGAACTCCGCGGGTGGGCAAGCACACTGTGGGTATTGATCCCACTCTCGGTCAACCGTCAAACCTACGCCGCCCACGACCTAAAGCTGAAGGATTACGGGGGGGCCTCCTGTCCGCCCACAACCCACGCCGTTCACGCCCGAATGCAGGGTGTGCAAACTACAGAGTTGTTTAAATAAATAACTAAAAATATGTATACATATAAAGATAAATCACCTCGCTCCTTTGCTGCCTTTCCTCAAACAAAGGAAAGAAAGAAAAAGAAAGAAAAAGAAAGAAAAAGAAAGAAAAAGAAAGAAAAAGAAAGAAAAAGAAAAAGAAAGAAAAGAAAAAAGGACGGATAAAACAAAGAAAAAAGAATTAAGACAAAAATTAATAATAAAGACAAAAAGAAAAAAAAATCCTCCCTTCTCAAGTCAAGAGGCGACACAGACGGCGCACTTCCCCCACCCATACCCCACCCCCCCGACGGCCCGCGACAGGAAGGCGAAACGGACATGGACAACGGAAGCTCTCACAAAGGCCAACGGGGAAGAAAAAGAAAACCTATTTGGGAACTTGCGAATTTTTTTTTTCTCCTCCTGAACGGTTTTGTCTATCTCTTTATCAATTTATTTATCTGCCTGTGTCTTTCTTCCTTTCTTTCTGTCTGTCTATCTACGTATATGTTATCATTATCGTTTTGCAATCGCCAATATCTTAGCACACGGTTTCTCTCGCTCTCGCTCGCTCTCTCTCTCTTTATATATATATATTTATTTATTCATTTATTTATCTATTCTTTTATATATTTATTTTTCTTTTTATTATCATTATTTTTTTTTTTTGGGGGGGGGGGGCGAAACAAAAAAAAAAGATAAATGAACAATTAGAACCCCGCCACTCTCACCCTCTCCACCATCACATCCCCACCACTCCTCCTACTCCTCTCTTAAAGTTTCCAAATCCTCAAGAAATCCCTAATGATGAGAAAGAGAGGGAGGGAGGGAGAGAGAGAGAGAGAGAGAGAGAGAGAGAGAGAGAGAGAGAGAGAGAGAGAGAGAGAGAGAGAGAGAGAGAAATAGTTCCATCCATCCTCTGTTCTTTTCTTCTCTCTTTTCATTTTCCTTCCGTCAAACCTTCAAAAAAAGAAAAGGAAAAAGAAAAAAGAAAAATATCCATCCCCATTCTCATCTACTTCCCAACTCCCCTTTCCTCTCTTTTCGTCCTCTCCTCCTTCCCAATAATCCCCCACCTCCCCGCCCATCCCTTTTTCTCCCCCCCTCCTCTTTTTCCCTCCCTCCCTTCTTCCTACTCCTCCTCCTCCCACCCCACCCCCCCTCCGAGAAGCTCACGCAGCCCCGATAAGAAGTTTCGGCGCCGTAATCAAGAAGACTTCCCCGGCGGCGCACGTGAGGCGAGGCCTGAGGAGCCCTCGGCCGCGCGCGCTGGGGGTAAGGGAAGGGATAGGCGATAATCACAGAAGAAGGAAAGAGGGAAAGACAGAGGGGAAAGAAAGAGAGAGAGAGGGAGGAGGGAGGGAGGGAGGGAAAAGGGGAGGGAAAGGGAGAGGGAGGAGTAGGGGGAGGGAAAAGGGGAGGGAAAGAGGGAGGGAGGGAGGGAGGGAGGGAGGGAGGGAGGGAGAGGGAGGGGAAGGGGGGGAGGGAGGGAGGGAGGGAGGGAGAGAGAGAGAGAGAGAGAGAGAGAGAGAGAGAGAGAGAGAGAGAGAGAGAGAGAGAGAGAGAGAGAGAGAGAGAGAGAAAGCGCGCAAGAAAGAAAGAAAGAAAGAAAGAAAGAAAAAAAGAACAAGAAATAGAGCAAGAAAGAAGGAAAGAAAAACAGACACACAGAATGACAGACAAACACATCCAACGAGGAAAAAGGCACGTCGTACTCAC